AAGTGGACTCAATTTGCACTATTTCTGGCAGTCTGCAAAGGCCTTATTCTTATAGAACTCTCACAATACTGTTTTTAAAAGTTTTACTCTCAGTTCTCCCTCATGTCTCCTTATGTTCCTCATTCCTCTATACAAAATGATTGAACTCTGAGAACTCATAATGGTACATAGTCACTTTTATGAACGTAAAAGTAGCCCTGAAGCCTCAGATGAATGGGTACTCCATGGGTAATCCTGGTTCCCACATAGCCAACTATGTGCCTCAGGGCAGCCCAAAGTAGGATATGGAGGCAATAAACCTTTCTCACTTTTGCTTCCTGGACAGTTGTCATTCTGTTTTTGTGGACTTGAAGTCTGCGACCTCGCTTATCTGTGAGGGACAACAGAGGGACATAAATGGGGTGTGCACCCATGACATATGTTTGTTCGGTCCCGCAGGCATGCACCTCCATTCAAGCTAATAGGGCTTGATTATTTGCATTTTCCTTTTTTCGCGGGGGGGGGGTTCCAGAACAGATCTCCCCCAAAAAGGAGGGGCAACTATATAGTGGCACCTGAATAAATTACTAGATAATTATCTAGAATTCTGTAAAGGTAAAGGTAAAGGTATTCCCTGTTGACAGGTTGTCAAGTCATGTCCAACCATAGGAGGTGGTGCTCATCTCCATTACTAAGCTGAAGAGACAATGTTGTCAGAGACTACTCTATGATCATGTGGCCAGCATGATTGCAAAGAACGCTGTTTACCTTCCCACTGAAAAGTGGTACCTACTTATCTACTTACATTTGCATGCTTTTGAACTGCTAGTTTGGCAGAAGCTGGGACTAGTGATGGGAGCTCACCTCATCATGCAGTACCCGGGCCTCGAATTGCCAACCTGCCGATCTGGCAATCAACAGAGTCAGTGTCTTAACCACCTGAGCTACTGCATGCATTCCATACAGTATTGAAAATTGATAGATACTGACAGACCTGCCATACATGAATATGTCAATAAATTACATTTTGTGTGAAGGGGCACTTTCTTTGCTCTGTTTTGAATCTCCAACTACCAATCAATTTTCCTGACTCATACAGCTCTTTTATAGTACACAATAATAGCACTATGATTCCACCTTAACTGCCATGGTTGCATTCCATGGAATTTGTAGTTTGGTGAGGCACTAGAGCTCTGTGGCTGAGAGCTCAAAATACCCCTCCTTTCACTAGGATGTCACCATGGCAGACAGTGTGGAATCATCATGATACAACCGTGTAGTGTGGAAAGCCCCTAGCCTTATTGGAGAGGGAGAAAACATACTATCTATCCACTTTCTCCAGGCTGTGGATGATTTTACAAATTTCTATCACATGCTTTACTTTTTCTCCCTTGATTTCATATTGATTGTATCATACCCAGTATTGCATGTCAGTCTCACATCCACCTGTCCCTGCTCACAAGATATCCTGTATCTCTCTGTCCTTGGTTTCTGGATAAACAGCAGCAGACGGAGGGCTATACGACGCCATCAACGGGACCGGATGCCTGAGTGTAAGGACTGGAAGGATGTATCACAGCTGGATGCTGTGAACCCCATTGAAAGCATTGACACCTGGACAGAGTTTGTGGAAGGAAAGAACAAGGTGAGGCCATTTCCCTGTTTTCTTTGGATGTTGACCTAAAGCTCAGGAGATGGACCTTCTCTGGGCAAACCATTTCTGCCTCATTTTGAACATGCGGTCAACCTGAATTGGCTTCACAGAATGGTCAGTTAGTTAAGTAACTGTTTAAACTGTGATGTAAAATTGCTTATTAAAAATCCTGTGGTGGATTTGTACAAAATTTGGAGAATCTGTACAAAATTTGGATATGAAATGAGCAATGTATAGATAAGCTCATCCATGGCCATTGATGGCCTAGAAGTCTTGCAAGTTAGCTTTTCTAGGGGCATTTTACATTATTAAATGGGACAATTTTTATATTTCATTAGTTTATTATTGAATTTACATTCAATAAATGCACTTTTCCCCCTAATGGGACTCAGGGTGATTCACAGTAAGACTGAATAGTCAGTAAGGATCAAGAATCACTGAACTAAAATGAAGGCAGGACTCAATGGGGAGAAATAATTGTTTCATTAAGTATCTGAAAAATAATTTTGAAGCAAATCACTATACTTTCCTTTTCTGACAAAGGATTCTTTCCAGGATTGCTTCCAGACAAGAGTTGGGATACTTCTTTTCTTTTTATTTTTTTAATGATAAAACATTTTATTAGTACTGCAATAGATATTCCAAACCATTTCTTCTTTAAAAAAAATACAACAGCCACCAATTTTAGAAACAGATGAAGGGAAGATCTGCAGAAATGTCAAATTATCAATTTTGTGCTGATCAGTGGTTCCTTCACCTAAACTATCATGTTGTATCTCGTCTGATTAGGTTTACAAAATAAGCGGTTATGGTCTTCAACCTGTGTTCAGAAAAAATTGTTCTATTTCAACTTTCCCTTCTGGTCCAGCTAGGGAAGCCACCTGATTTATGTTAGCATTGGGGTACTTCTTTTCCATGCTGGGATGTTGTTTTTCCACAGTAAAACTCGAGCTGCATCTACACTGAATAATTAATACAATTCAACACCACTTTAACTGCCATGGTTCAATGCTATGGGATTCTGGGATTTGCAGTTTTGAGAGATATTTGGCCTGGTCTGTCAGAGAGCTCTGGACCCACAGCAAATTACAAATCCCAGGATTCTGTAGGATGGAGACATGACAGTTAAATCAATGTTAAACTGCATTAATTTTGCAGTGTACATGCAACCAGAGTTGAAATAAAGGGCCTAAGCAGACTGCCAGAAATAGTGCACATTAAATTGAGGCCCTGGCCCTGGCTCAGTGCTAGGGAATCATGGGAACTGTAATTTATTGTGGCACCAGAGCTCTCTGACAGAGAAGGCTCAATGTCTCAGAAAAAAATACAGTTCCCATGATTCCCTAGCACTGAGCCAGGGCAGTGCCTCAATTTAATGTGCACTATTTCTGGCAGTCTGCTTAGGCCTAAAGGTTCCATGCAGCACTTTAAAATAATACTGTACTATTTCCCCTATGATAAAAAATTCATTGCAGTATTTAGTGTTGAATGGGACCTATGTGAACCAGTAGCTGATCCCCTCCTATATCTCCACAACTTTTAACTAGAAACTTTCTTTGAATAATTGTTGAAAGGCAATTAACAGAGTACTCATCTCTAAGCAACCCCACAGCTGTGATAAATAGAAAGCAATGAAATCAACCAAGCCTGCAAACAGAAATTAATTTTAAATTTTAAATGCACAGAGGATCAGGAAATCCCCAACAGCATTTTGTCTGCATGCACTCGGTACACTAATACTGCAATTGCATTTTCCTGCCTCAAAATTTGCCACTAATGAGATCTAAAAATATGAAAGAACAGCATAAAAGACAGGAGTACCACTGTCTGGATGGACCATAACAATGAAGTGAACAAAGGATAGACATTCCAAGGGAAGGGAAAGGACTAAAGTACAAGCTACTATCAATGGTAACTACCATGCTTAAAATTTCAGCAAAAATAAAAATTGCCAACCATTTCCCATATTTTAATATTCAAGTTTGTTTAGGTTTCTAACCATTTGTAATGGCATCATATTGTCTAGAAACCACTGATAACATGAATGTTGTTGATTCAGGGATCAGGTATTAGATCCTTAAGCTGCATCTTCAGCTAATAATGCAGTTTGGTACCACTTTAATTGTCATGGAATTCTGGGGTTTGTACTTTTGTGAGATATTTAGTCTTCTCTGTCAGAGGACTCTGGTGCCATAACAAACTACAAATCCCAGGATTTCATAGCATTGAGCCATGGTAATTAAAGTGGTGTCAAATTGCATTATTTCTGCAATGCAGATGCAACCAAAGAGACAGGGATATTATCTTTCCTGACTGCCTTGAGAAGTTCTTTACTGACTCATACACAGCTTCTGCTTATCTCTGCCAAACTGAGTTTCCCCTGAACTTCAAATTCCTCAGTTACAGAGACAGAATTCCACTGTTGTCTATTGCCCCTCGATTGATTAAACATAGCAAAGGATTTTTTTTCTTATTTTTTGGTTTTGGTTTAGTTGTTGTTGTTTGGTGAACCAATTATCCGGATCCTGGTCTCCTAAGCGCCCATTCCAATATAACATTTTATAAGTCTGTCTTTTTGAAAATTATTCCAATAGAGATACACATATAGTTATAAATATTGGCAGAAGAGACGGTATAGCTGTTGGGAAAAATATGTGGATCAGAATTTCAGTTTTGTTAAGGCTTACCTTAGAAAATATTAGATTTTAATCACTTAGAAATCTGGGTATGGAGTGTTTCAGTGAATCCATGGTAAGTACTCACAGCAGATTGTCAGGGCCTAGCAGAACAGGCAGGATTATCTGTGAAATCAGAATGAACAATCCGCTAGTATTACATTCACAGTTTATATGGAGGTTGTTGTTGTTGTGTGACTTTCTGACTTATGGTGACCTCAGGCAGATCTATCATGGGGTTTTCTTGGCAAGTTTCTTCAGAGGGGATTTGCCATTGCCTTCCTCTGAGACGAAGAGACTGTGACTTGCCCAAGGTCACCCAGTAGGTTTTCATGGCTGAGCTGGGATTTGAACCCTGGTCTCCAGAGTTGTAGTTCAACGTTTAAACCACTACACCATACTGACGCTACTTATATGGAAGTACTAATAAGCAAAATAGTGAAAAAGTAGAAACTTGCTTGTAATACACTAGCTACCAATATGATTCCAATCTGACTTCAGCATTTCTGATTAGAAATGGGAAGCATATTCATAATAATTCATTCCCAGGTCAAAAAACAGGTTTCATGGCAGTCAGGAAGAATAATGGACCAGTGCGAATTTTCTGCAGTCTTCTGCTATTTAAATGTCCTTCAGTGTTGTTGAGGAATTATTCTACAAAAAAAAAATGTGCCAGGCTTTTGATGCAAAACACACACACACACAA